TATATATATATATATATATATATATATTTTATTTTATTTTTTTTTTTTTTTTTTTTTTTTTTTTTTTTATATTTCGAGTTTATATGACAGGGTTTCTAGGTCTGCAAAACAAAGCTAGCCTAATAGCAAATCAAAAATAGCCCAAAACTAACCCAATGACCCTATCCCAAATATCAAAACTCAAAATATGTGACTCCCATATCTGCAATACATATTTTACAGTCACTGTTATGCGTTCTGCACAATTTCATAAAGGAACTCTCTGCCTGTGCCAACTCACCATCTAGCACAGTTTTATGCTGATAGAATCAATGAATCATTGTTATCATTGATAGAATAAAAAAAATGGGTAAATATTTCAATACAAGCATTTGAGTCAAATACAAGCTATGTAATATGTCAGTCCTTTAACTCACAGTAGTGTAAATAGGGTTAAAGTGAACCATCAAATTTATTGACAAGCATTTATGGTAAACTAAAATATACTTTAATGTAATTTCTATTGAAATTTGCCAAACCTCAAAGGGCACCTATTATGGCCCTTTTTACAAGATGTAATATTGGTCTTGGGTGTCCCCAGAATGTGTCTGTGAAGTTTCAGCTCCAAATACCCCAAAGGTCATTTATTATAACATTTGGAAAAATGTCATTTTGGGGCATGTCTAAAAAAAGAGATGTTCTGGTGTGTATCACTTTAAATGCAAATGAGCTGCATATTCCCACCCTGTCTTTGAAGAGGGCGTAGTGTATACGTCTCTGCTTTGCATACCTACAGCTATAAACAGCAATATGACTGACTGTTGTTCAGCCATACATATGGGAAGCCAAACGCACCAAAAGTTGAACGAAACAGCTTGATGTTACAGAGCTCGCGCAGCGCTGACCTGTCATCAACTCGACAGCGCAGGGAGGATGTGTTTGCTAGCGTCACTGAACAGACAGCGCAGCACAGATCAATTAAAATACTTTGATAACATATGCACAAAAACACGGTTAAAATGTTAGCTAAGCACTATAATGACACGACATTCACAAAACAGTCTGGAGTGAAATGATTTGCGCAGACATATACCGATTTAGGCAGATTTTGAGGCGCATTACCTTCAAAAATAAAAGTAAATGTTGGGAGAAAATGAAAAATCTTATGTTCAGTCTTACATCCAAACACAGAACACCAGGATTGCTTACGAGATATTGTTGACATTACAGCTGCTTGAGTGCGGAGAAAATGGTGGACAGCGCACAACCAACACAACTTGCTGAGAGTGGAAACTACGGTAATGCAGGACTGTCAGTCAACGGCCGTGGGCGGGGCCTAAACAATGTGACATCATATTGCTTTGAGAATCAAAATGGCAGGCCTATTGAGACTGTTTTGGTTTAATGGGGATTAAAAAATAAGGAGTGGTTGAATTTTTATCATTGTAGGGTGGTTGTGTTCACACACTGCCAACACACAATTATGTCCAAACACCATGTAAAAGTAGATTTTGCATAACAGGTGCCCTTTAATTATATTTGCAATGACACATTTGTAATGATGAAGATCTAATTTAGCACATTTAAAATACTTTAATACCAAATAAAACTACTATTATAATAAAGTTCTTTACATGTGCTTTAGTATGTTAGTCAACATATCAAAATAAGTGTTCTTCTTTAAAGCATGACAAAGGATTATTAAAACAAAGATGTGTACTTTAAAGTAAAACTTGCAATGTGACATTATTACAGTGTGTTAAACAGTCATTAAAGTGTACTCCAAGTACACTTATTTGGGCTTTTATTTCATGAATATTACACTATTTGCAAGTACATTTTTAAAAATATACACTTTTAAGACTTCGAATACACTAAGTGCACATTCAGTACAAATAAGCACACTTTTTTGCTGGCAATATGCTAACTAAAAAAATGCTCCTGGTATTCCTTGTGTATAGGTTGCTTTGAATAAAAGCATCTGCTAAATTAATAAATATAAATGTAAAAACGTAAATGTAAACTCGTTTGGAATTATGTGGAGTTGTGTATGTAGAACGTTCAAATCAGTCACTTCTTATGATTCTTTTCAGTTTGGATGCTGCTTTGGCTTCAGCGATTTGCAGTCAGTTGCCAATTTCTACTGACAGAGATCATTCTGCTGGTGGGAGATGCAGCCCCCTGATTCAAGTGAATACCACATCAAAACAAAAGCGCCTATTAGAAAACAACAGCAACTAAATCAGCTTTCAACCAACAAAATATTTGTCTTTTTAATCTTCCATCAAAATGTAACTTACTCTGCCTCTAAACCGACATCATCAAACCAGCCCCTCCAACCACTTGACATAGACAACACACTTCACCCTCCAAATCAAAGTCCTGCCTAAAAGTTTTTATGCTTTTATGAGAAAGGACAGTGGAGATTTTGACAGGAAAGTGGAGGGAAAGAGAGGGAATAGGTGACAGATTCAGACAGAAGTCGTTGGGTTCAGTGCCTGTAGGGCGGTCACATAAGGGTTGTCAAGTGCTCTGCACCAGTGTCAGGTAAAGCAGCTCAAGGTTATGAGGACGTAAAATGGCCTTTGACAGACAGGTGGTATATATTGCATCCCTGGTTACAGAAGACGAACGGTGTGGGTGTAAAATGCGATCACCTTGCAATACTTGCAGTTGAAGGCACAAAAACGAATACCTGCCTCAATGCAAGAAGCAGGGAGTGCATCCACACTCATTTATTGCACTAAATAAATCATTCAAAAACTACAGTCTCGCACTGTACAGTAGGTTAGATCAAATACAGACAGAGATGGGTAGAGTGTAAAACAATACTTTATGTTAAGCCAAATAAATGCTCAGGACCCAATTGTGAAGCCAATTTTGCGATAACATCCGGATGACTGTACATTATCCTGAATATTACACAGCTATAAAATATTGAAGTTAAAATATTTTATTAGCTCACCAATAAACTCTTTGCTTCTACAAAAAAAAAAAAACCTTCCCAGCAGTTTCCTTTGGTAATTTTGCAGGCAAGTGGCTGGGCACCAAAATTTTACAAAATATTAATTTGTCAATAAAACGTCTTAATGAGGAATTTGTTTATTACAGACATGCAGCTTTTCACTTCACAAGGTTATTGTGATACCTTTACCAGCTGTTTGAACACTCATTCTGATGGCACCATTTGCGTTTGAAGAAACACAATCTTGCATAGCCTGAGAATGAGTACATTTTCATTTTTTGGTGAACTACACTCTAAAAACTGCTGGGTTAAAAACAACCCAATTTGGGTTATTTTGGCAACCCAGCGTTGGGTCAAAAAGGGACGAACCCAGCGCTGGGTTGTTTTAACCCAACAAGTTGGGTTATTATGTCTGACCCAGCATGCTGGGTTGCTTTTTTATGGTTTAAAATTACTACACTGCTAGGCTAAAATGAACCCAAATCGAGCTAGACATTAAACC